GGGGGGGGGGTTTAAGGTTTTTGATTTTTAGGCTCCGATACCATGTAGAAAGGTTAATTTCATTGATTGAATATGTGGGAGTACATGACTATATATACACAAGGATTCCTAATCCTATAGAAGGTAGGAGACAATAATAGGAAACAATATATTCCTAATCCTATACAAGGTAGGAGACAATAATAGGAAACAATATATTCCTAATCCTATACAAGGTAGGAGATAATAATAGGAAACAATATATTTACATTCAAAATAGAATATATTTAACAGGTTTTATAAACAAGAAGGCCGAGGGTTTTAAAAAAAACTAGAGTAAAAAAAACAGTTTGTTTTCTTTTTAAAAAAACAGTTTGGACTTATAAATAAAGAAGGCCGAAGGTTTAAAAATAATAACTACAGTAAACCTTCTGTTTATATAAATATACACAAAACTTTTACAAAAAAATAAAATAATAATAATTAACCACAGACTGTAGTTTGTTCCATAGTTTGTTTATGTCGTAGATGAAACTTTATTCATGTCGTAGTAAACTTTTGTCTATTTCATTTAATTGTTTTTGTTTCATGTCCTAAGTGACAATAATTATAAAAAAATTGTATTTTTGTTTCCTAAAAAAATAGTGGTCTTTGTTTGATCAATGAATAGAGTTGTAAATTGTTTACGCTTTGAATGTCTAATTGATGTTTTTATCAAGTAGCATGATGTTTTAGAAAATAAAAAGGGGACATCGTATGATTATATTTTTAGAATGATTAAGACATTAAAAAACGATTTATGTAAATGACTTTACTAGATTAATCAAACAAATTAGTGGACTAAGTAATGGTTCAAAGTTTATTTTAACGACGTACCCTGACCAGGTATTGTCACGTTCTCGTATGTAAACCAAACCACATTTTAAGGCCGGATCGTATGTGTCCAAGTGGATGAGCCTACAAATAATCATACCACAACGTGCGCACGAGAACCCGACGATGACCCCGTGGGTCTAGGGTTCACTTCTGATTACCGGACTCGAGGTCACGGGGAGGTATCCGAAGTAAAACTACGTATCGACTAGTGCGGGGTTCCAGCCTAGTCACGGCTTAGTCTCTAATATATGGTTAATCCAGGTAGATCAAGGGTTTATAATGTCCCCGGGTATCCTTTATAAGTGAGAATGTTATTTAAAAGTATGTGGAAGGTTTTGAAAACGTTTAATCTAAGATGTTCTAAAATATATTTACATGTTATATATGTCTATTGGTTATTTGCCACTCAGCTTAGCTTTTGCTGAGCGTGTAGTGTTTAACTGCACGCAGGTATTAGCAAGGGGAGCAATTGCTGAGGAGGAAAGCTTGGACGTGGAGGCCATGCCGAAGGAGTTCTTATTTAATATTTCATAATGAATAAAACGTTGAACTTAATTTACATTGTTTTTGGGCTTGAACCCAAGGTTGTATTAAGTGTGGGTGTTTTCACTTTAAACTTATGCGAAAAACATTTTTTTAAATTCTCTTAAGATTCTCTTTAGCTTATGCCAGGCAGTGTACTGCCAG